GGTAATTCCGGAAGTTCCATATAGATTTCTTCCTCCAGATCCCCGTTTAGGAATGCCGTTTTGACATCCATGGCATGAATCTCCCAATCTTCGAGAGCAGCCAGAGCCATAAGTATGCGCAAGGATTCGTAGCGCAATACTGGCGAGAAGGTCTCATCACAGTCAAACCCATGAACCTGAGTAAATCCCTTGGCAACAAGTCGTGCTTTGAAACGAACGTCACGCTTCCTGCTAAACACCCATCTGCATTTGACAGTCTTTCGACCGCGTGGAAGGCTGGTCAAATCCCAAGTACAGTTTTCCTCGAGAGAGTCCAATTCTTCGCGCATCGCGCGCTCCCACCTGAGTGCCTCCGGGCTCTTGGCTACGTCCCGCACGTTCTGAGGCAAGTCATGTTCAGCTTGAGCAGCTGAAAGCATAGACTCAATGCTGCTAGGCCTCTGATACGTAGTTCCATCCGGCAAAATGCGGGGCTTATTCCGACGAGGGCGGCGATGTGCAATCGGGCGATCGTCTATCGGGCCAGGCATTAGGGGTACTTCTCGCAATCCCGTGACAGGACCTTGTTGCGCGAGGGGTGCCGGGGGCGGTGGAAGAGCAGGGGGTGGTATGCTTGCATAAGGTGTTGCAGGCGCAGGATTATTGATAAGGTCAGGGAAGCTTTCCTCAAATGGTGTGAACGGCTCCGGTCCAGAGGACACATTGCCGGTGACTAGCTTGGACTTGGCAGGGAATACTCGCTCATCGAACTCGACGTTTGAAGAGATTCGTATCTTGCGTTGATTCGGATCCCACACTTTCCAAGCTTTTGTCTCTCGTTCGTATCCAACGAAGATGTGGTCGGGGCGTCCATGCTCCAACCCTTTCGGGCGTTTTTCAACATCCACATAGAGAGACGCCTTGCATCCAAACACACGGAAATAAGAGACGTCTGGCTTCTTTCCAAGCCACAGTTCCGCAGGTGTTCGCCATCCCAATCGTGCCATAGGTTGTCTATTATGAACGTGGACAGAGGCATCCATAGCACATTGCCAGAAGCCTTTGGATAGGCTGGCATCGAGGCGCATGCATTCCGCTTTCTCGTAGGCTGTGCGATTCCAACGTTCAGACCTCCCATTTTGCTGTGGTTCGCGTGGCGCGGACTTAGGGTGCATAATACCACGTGCATTGAGCCAGGCTGTGAGTTCATCGGACATGTATTCGCCTCCACAATCTGACCGGAAGGCCAGTACTTTTGTGCCGAGCTGACGCTCTACAAGGGCAACAAAGTTTTTAATTGCGGTAGAGGCTTGGTCCTTTGATTTAATGAACACCATCATGCCAAAGCTCGAGAAATCGTCGTAGAACGAAATTGTGTAGCGTGAACCTTCCAACAACTGAGTAGGCCAGGGGCCCATCAAATCAGTGTGGATAAGCTCGAGGGCTTTGCTAGCACGTTTCTCTGATGCAGGGTATGGATGGTTGTGCTGTTTTCCAAGCATACATCCATTGCACATGCCGCGCTGGTCTTTATTGCGTCGCAAGGGGGGAACACCTTCAACTTGTGTTGGCAAGTGAGTAAGGGTCCTCCGAGCCGCATGACCAAAACGCTTATGCCACAATTCACGATCGGTAGTTTCCAGGGAAGCGAGCGCGGTAGACTCGTGAGATGCAGACACAGATGGTGCCACGAGCTCCTCGGGGTAGTACCAGTAGCAGCGATTGCTTGCTTTAAAGGTCATCAAGACATCCCCATGCGCTTTTCCCTTGTTGAGCCAATCCTTGGTGACTAGGATTGCCTTGTTGTCACCAACCACGGTGTAGTAACCAGCCTGATCGAGCGCATACCCAGAAAGATAGCGCCCTCTTATGTGCGGGTTGTAGATGACATCCTTCAGCGTGAAGGTGTAGTCCATGCCACTACTAGTATGACCCCGCAACACAATATCTCTCAATGGCTTCATTCTTGAAGCGAGCTCCCGACCCAACGACTACATAGGTGTCGATAGGTCTGATGTTGTGAAGATCGGATCGGGTGTTTGTCATATGATGTGTACAACCCGAGTCCCATAGAAAACGAACTTTGGAGTCGTCTCCCATTTCTTCAACAAAAATTCCATCATCAATGTGTTTGAGGGAGTCACTCATGAGATAGGACGAAATGTGCATTCCATTGGAGGCAGCTGCAACCGCGGGAGCGGCTACAACTTCTTTTACAGCGCTAGTACCATCACCACTCTTCTTCTCCTTCTTCTTTTTCTTCTTCCCCTCATCCTGCTTCCCCTTGCCTTTGTCAGATGATTGACCATTAGGCTTGAGGTTGGGATACTTCTTATAGCAGGATGCCGCAACGTGACCGGACTTGTTACAATGAGTGCAGCGGGTGGCAAGGGACGGAACGGTGGAAATCTTCGAGTTTGACGTCGTGTCGAGGTTCTCGATCTTGATATTCCCAATGACGCTGTTCTTGACATCGACTGGGTTCAGAGAAGCGATAGGACGATTGGCCAGGTAAGAGGTGACGAAACCTCTGCTGGAAGCGGGCAAGGCGGCAAGCATTAGAGTTGCGAAGAGGTAGTCGGGGATCTCGATTGCTCCTTCTGAACACTGGCAACGACGAGTCTCCATTTCCATGATTTGTTTTTCAATGGTGTCACCACCGTGGAAGGTGGTGGTGTTCAGGAGGCGGTACTCGACGAAAGCATTGATGGCATTTGGTTGGCCATAATCCGTCGCCATCTTTGCAAAAACCTCGCGCGCAGTGCACTCCCGTTGACCGTCCATAAAGATTCCCTTGCGCAAATTCTGGGTGATGTAAACCCGCGCAAGACCCAGTGCCTTTTCATTGGCGATGTCCCAACGCTGCTGACTTTCATTGGCAGTGGTGGGTCGTCCTAGAGCCCCAGGATTCGGAGCACTTGTTCCAGAAACCGTAATGTGAGTGGGTTTAACCACTCCCCAAGTGCCCTGATGCATACAGATGCTCATGTAGTTGTCCGACCATGTGTTCCAATTGGTGCCATCGAACATGTTCAGGATGTTGTTGTTCAACTTTTCGATCCCAGACATGATGGGAAGAAATTCAATGACGTCTTTGATTTGGTAGTAGAGGGAGGGGTCTTCGACGAGGTTCTCGCCAAACAGAACGTGGAGGGCAGTGGTGAAGTTACCCTGCTCTTGATAACTGTCTGGATTTTCTAGATCCCCGATTCGAAAGATGTCGTCTTCAGCGACAGATGAGAGAGGAAGGTAGGGAGGTCCGAAGAATTCCCAAGTGTTAACGGGGTATTGAATAACCCCAACAGGAGGATCGTTTGGTGATGACAGGGTGATAGAGATGAAGACTAGAGCGACAAAGTCAGCCCCAGATTCTCTGCAGACCAAGAAACAAAATCCCGAGTGCCAAATCTCTGAAACGAGAACGACCAAGCGTCCCCATCCCATCCATGATGCCCATATACGCGCGGGGAATGATAATGAAATAAAGCGGTATAGTAAGTGCCCATATTTGTATCAAAGTAACGTAACTATATACGTCAGCGGCGGCAGTACCCGATGGTGATTACTGCCCTCGCAGTCCGTCACTGGCCAAGGGACACGTGCCCAAGGCCGTCCCAAGCACCGGGTTTGGCCGCCCATCTTCTCCCTTTTAAAGACATGCATACACGCAGAGCGTCATTGCATGAATCCTCGTAGTGTCACCAGCCCGCAGGGTCCCTTGTGAGGAATGCGAGTCAACCCCGAAGGATGGTTTTGCCTGGCGGAGGGATTGACCTCCAGCAGCTGTTGAGAGCTACCACACCACCTAGGCGCTTCGCGCAAGGTTCAGGAGTGGGATTGACGAAAGGACCAGTGCCTGGTGGGTATGTCCGCTGTACAATAAAAAGATGTAACATAAAACGCGCGCGAGCAATCATGGACGGAATAGCTAACGGCATGTCTGCCAACTGAATGACTCCCTGACGCCGCTCGCGTAACCCCTTGAGGGTGAGAGCACAAATGCGAGGACCGACATCCAGCAAGTGGGACGAGCGCACAAAGACGGCGCTCTAGAAGGGCTGAACGAGTGAAAGATACTCGCCTTAGTAAAGGAAGTAGTTCGATGTTTCTTGATTTGCCGCTAGTGGTTCAGGCGGGGCCCATAACCTGTCGCAGACAATACCGCGCAGTGGAGATACGACCAGTAGCGATCACCTAAAGACACAGAGTCTCAGCGAGTGTAAGACACAGGAGCTATACATTAGCTGTACCTAAAGACACAGAGTCTGTGGTACAAGTCATAAGTAAGGGTCATTAGATCGTAAGGGAGAATGCATACCTCAGCGAGTGTAAGACACAGGAGCTGAGGATATGGAGCATACAGTACTAGGTTTATATACCAGTCTGGAGCAGATATCATGATGTCATAGTGGAGTAATGATATCATAGATGAGTAATGGATGACGCAATAATGAGGTCAGGTATGAGGTCATTGTGGAGCGAGCCAAAGTAATCTAATAATACTACTTATGATGTCATGTCTACATACTGTGATAGTCGCTAATACAAACAAGCTTCAACACTACTGACGTGTACAGCTTTCTTAACCAGCCAAATTATTGCCTCGAGATCGAGTCACGTGTTTGGCTTCCCAATCCCTTCAATTGTTGTGAAGTATATTGATTGATGTAGAGAAATAGAATTCTAGTGAAGGGAAAATACTGTTGTATGAAGGGGTAGGTCTCTTTGAAGCGCGTAAAGAATGCACAAACAAAAACATACTCTAGATGTCAGCATCCACAGGCTGCCTTGATGAAATGATGCTGCCAGATGTGTCGGCCCCCGTGGGGCCTTTGACGTGCTGATCATCTTCTGTCAAATCTCTCCTGACCGTCTTTTTTCAGGTATTAAGGGTGTGTGCAAACATGCACAGTATAAAATCCCCCTGAGCCTAGCGAAAAATTTATATTCTGACATTACCAAGCCACAGGGTGAGCAAGATATGTAAAGGATTGTCTCCTGTTTAGTGTTAAAACTGTCCCCACAAAGCTTTCCATGTCATAAAACTATCTGAGACAAGCCCAGAGGCTGCGAGAGACCTCAGCGCGTTGTCACCTTGAACTTGAGGTCTTTGAAAGGTGCCACTGGTGCTCATCATGTTGAGAACTGGTTCACTGGCACGTCTTATCAAGGGCAACTCGCGGAGAACACGAAGAGAAGTGCGCACTTCCTGAATGCGCGCATGCCTGTCGATTTTGTCACCGCGGTCATGTTGTCCAAATTGAGAATATCGGCGGCTTTCCTCAGTCTTGATGAGAGCTCCATGGCCGAGCGATGATGATCGGCCTCACTGAGACAGTGACAAGCAAGTTTTCCGTGCGATATCTCGTTACTGTAAGGCGGAAAGATAGATTCGAGATAGCCTGGGGCCTGACCTGGAGGGTGGGAGGAAGTATGAGGGCTTGTAAAGTACCGGTCGATCTCGGGCGCATGGCGCAGCCAATGCTCCGATGGAACTGAGGGGGAAGTTTCAGGCATCATATGACCGCGGCTGGATTCTGGAGTCGAATTCCGAGGCTCTTCTCCTTGCGTTTCTGGGATAGCGGATGCCCTCAGCTATATCAGATCAGGTCAACTCTCGGAATATGAGAAGGGCCTGCTTCCGCACCTCTTCAACCATCCGTTCCAACTCAGAAATGCGTGCCAGCAGCGCACTTTTGTCTTGCCTGGGCGTGGGATCGAATCCGACTGCTGAATCTGTCTGATAAGTACAATGAGCGGCCTGCATCCAACGCTCAAACCAGCAGTTCTATTGAGATAGCAGAAACAGCGCACCATCCCTGACTGGACACAGCGTGTGCAAGGTCGCTTCCTGTCGCACTTGAAAGTATGAGCCGGGCTCAGAGTGTGATAGGTGATGAAGCTGCACCATACGCTTGGTAGCATGGCAGTTTAGGCAGGAGTGGGTTGTTCTGTTGCGGCGCCTGCAAGTACCTCAGCAGGAGGCCCAACTAAGCGGCGCAGAAAGCTTACCGCTTTCTGCGATCTTCTTCGCCGCCTGGAACAGGAGTTGAAGCCTGAGATGCGGGCATCGGAGTGAACTTGAGAAAAGCTTAGTTCGCAGCACGTTTTATTTGTCTGGAAGGCAACACCTGCGGCCTCAGGAAGAAAGGAGAAGGGGAGACGACTGGAATGGACAGCGTGGCATGCCTGATTCGTCATCGATCCTGACAGTTCGGATAAACTAGTTTGAATTCTAAAAAGATATTGCAGGCTAGCCTGCTGATTCTCGCCCGGCTCGAGAGGATGGTGCTGATTTGAGAGATTTGGCAGCTGTACCGAAGACGGTCAAGTTGCCAGATCTGTCACACTGTACACATGTGAGATAGGTCATACAAGATATTTTTCCTGATAAAATCCTCTAGCTTCGTCCTTCCGACAACTCGGCATCAAATGTTTTGTCCTTCACCTCGGAAGCAAAAAAGAGCACCGGACACCGTTCTGCGTCCCCTTAAGGTATTAAAGCACGCGATTCGTGGCTTTTACCGGAGAAGGTGCTCACGAGACTGTAGGGACTAGTGGAAACCATCTTCGGAAGTCACGCGCGAGGCGCTGTATGCTGACACCAATGGACACGCTCAGTGATCTGCACTACCGCGAATGTCCATCACGGAGCTACCTGAGCAGCTCCGCCGGGAGGAGAGAAAACTACCATGATGTGAGGCTTAGAGTGAGCTAGAGTTCAAAATCTGTGTGCGGAGTCTAAGAGAATTTCATGGCACATCTCGGTCCACAGAAAACACACGTGAACAGTCACCAATATCAACGACCGACGAATTCATCATTTCTACGCCGCGAAAAGTCATGGAAATCACACATGGTCCAACGTAGGTCCTTGCACTGAGGAACTCGACATGCCGTATTCATTTCACGGACAAGATTACCGATGTGGCGGCGCCATTCTGGGGAGATTCGAACCTATTGAGAGCCAAGTTACAACGCGCTAGAATTCTTATCTTTGATCCAACCACGGATGCGCCTAGTTCAAAACAACGTAATCATTGATCAAAGGCCAAAGTGTTCGATAATCATCCGATCGGAACTTTGGCCGTCACAGAATCATGCACGAGATCAGCGTCAACTTCTCAATCTGGATGAACAAGATCTGTATTCTAACTCGATAGCTCGGCGGGCCACAAAGTACTTGCATGGGGCGAAGTGGGCTCACATTTGATTAAGCTACTCATTACGCTCAAAAGAGCCAGAGTTCAAGTAGAGCCTGGGTCCGCTCCCCGTAAGAATGAATGAAGCGAAGCCAAGCATATCGGCACTCAACTGCCAAGGTGGAGATCTGGGTCGTTTGAAAAACTCGTGGATTTCTAATTGAAAAATAAGCTCAGCCCATGAGCAGAGGAGTGAGTAAACATCGCCGAAGTCCCGCCCGAGGTTTACGCTTCAGGTATTGCTAATTTTCGGCGCGCACCCTTGTCCACGACAGATCAAACATCCAGAGAAGTAGTCGACCCTCAAGCGCTGTACGGAATAAAGTTTTCAGTTCCATGGGGTACTGGTACCACATGCAACAACGACTAAGTGTGCATTGTGGTTGGAATCTAAAATAGAACTGGTATGTCGTAAGCAAACGACTCTTGCCGCATATCGATGCACGGCCGGGCGGATGAGGGGCCAAGATCTCAGAGATGAATGGCTGTCCAGAATAAGTGTCATGTACGTAGCATGCAGTTTCTTCAGGGCCTGTGTAAAGCTGTCTCTTGTTCAGTGCAAGATATTCTCCTCCGAGCCCAATGATGGTCATCGGGATCTCGCCCCCCCTGCAGCGCATCGCATCAAGAAGACTCCATGTACGTTGAACGTCACCGCATGCGAAGCTATTAAATCCGTTCCCGTGAAACATTTTCGGCCGTGGAACGAAGGGGATTACTTCACGCAAGGAAATGCTCATTGGACTGGTTCAAGCGTACCCCGCATTGATTTTGGTCTTGAGACAATCTTCAGGGTGACTAACGCCTCTCATCCGGAATTTTTTCTCATCCCCGCTCCACGAGAAGTTTGGGTGCCAGCCCAGGGTCTGCTCCCGCATTTGATCGGCTACAAGAATGCTCCCTGTCAACATACAACTTTCGGCCTTCTTCCGCCTTCCTTAATTTCCCGTGACTTTTCCAATACCGAGCATGTGTTAGGAGACGGATACTCCGGAATTGGTCTGTCAGAATACATACCTTCGGTTCATACGAATGTTAGTGAATTCTTAGCTATGTATTCCGTTCTGAGGTTCTCAACAATTCTTATCCTACCGTTCTGCTTCCTCTAGTCAAATTTGACTATATTCTCCCATGCTAATTTATCCAACACTATGCTACAGGTCGTCTACCGCTGCCAATTTCAGCTCACAAAAGTGTTCTTGGGATTGACTATCCGTCATCGCATGCGCTTGGAAGCGGTGTTGCGATGAGGCATGATGCTGTTATGAAGCATGTGGTCGGTTGCGCAAAACGATCCGTCCCAAGCGGTGAAGCGCCACGGGAACAGGACTACACAAAATGGGATCTTCGGGTCCGAAAAATGATTGCATTCTAGATTACCGAGGATCAGTGATATGCGAATTTCTTTAGTCCCACCGAAGAGCTTACATTTTGCACAATAGCGATGCATTTTGTCATCAATAAACAGCAATCATGATCACGACTTGGTCCTTTCTCTTTCTCTCAGAAACGCTCGGAAACATGGAACACTCTGGACAGACGAGCTCGATTGCCTGTGAGTCGTACGATTGGGTGCACTTGAAGCACCGAAGTGGTACGCGGCTTGTTTACATGAATCCCAGATGTCTCATTCCCGCCGCCAGATTCTTTCGCTGTCTTATCAAGGGCGTATTATTCTACCAACGCTTTTTCTTCGCCTCAGTATCCTCCTGTGCATGGTGATTTTAGTTCCCAGGATCTCGATTTTTCTGGCCTCACGGGAATGATATGTAGCTCGAAGCGACATGTCGAATAACGACTTCAAGAGGACACCCGCGCACCAAGAATGGGCTCCCGATCCTGCCTGGTGGCCAGTTCATCATTGGCATGTGCAGCGGCCATCTCAGTGGGAGCTCTCTCCCAGCTCCCTTGCCTCCGCCTTTCCCTGTTCTGCTGATTCGCAGTCCAGGGATCCGCCAGAATCATATCCCGAATCTTGCGACCCTCCCTCCTCGCAATCACTCAAAACTTGCGCCCACTGCGCAGTAACTTCGACCCCGCTCTGGCGGCGAGAACGTGGCACTGGCGAATTGCTGTGCAACGCGTGTGGACTGTATCTGCTTCAGCGAAACGTTCCCCGGCCACTTTCCCTCATTGAGGCGGACATGAGGCCCCTCTCTGTGAACGCGCAGATTCCCGAGTATGAATACTCCGGACCAATGTGTTCCAACTGCAGAACTCGCGTGACTAGCGTTTGGAGGAAGAACATTCGCGGCCTGGTGGTGTGCAATGCGTGCGGTGTTTGGGAGAGGCTCAAGGGAGGCGCACGGCCGATCGAGTTAAGGCGGGATAATATCAAGCCGCGCACGAGGCATGCGAGGAAGGTGTTTAGGCTGAAATGACGCGAACTACGTAGTCTACATAACGTCAAACGCCCATAGAGGAGAAGACTACTTACTCTTAGAATATCTTTCCGATTGTCATCCATCATAAAGAGGAAAACTTGTATATTCGAAGGGAAAAGATTGACTCGCTGTCGTGAGAGGCTGCGGGCATTAGTGATGCCGCCGCAATTCGGGCAAGTTCCATTTCTACAAAAATTGTCGAACCTCGAACCAGGTGCCGGGGTCAGTTCACTCTTTGCTCAAATCGTGGACTTCACGGCCGTTGGTCCATGTGGTCTGGTCGTACGTGCGGACCGGTTCGGACCGTATTTTCTCTAATCAGGCCCGTTTTGATTCATTGCGCATTGGTAAGCTCATCAGGTGCTGATGCCTATCAAGCCAATCAACCTTCCCGTATGGTCTCGGGGCTGCGTGTAGACGTACTGGATCTCAGTACCCCGCTCCTGCGGCCCGTTTATTTTGCAGGTGAAATTAAAGTGAACGTGATTTTTGGCATTTACGACATGTATTGAATAAGCTGCGACCAGAGGGTTGCCGTATCTTTCAGTCATACCCACTGGTATCCGACGACGTCAAATTCCCAATGCCCATTTTTTTACATCGCACGCCATCCACTCAATCCGCTAGTGTGGTACATGGTCGGTGGTAGAACGACCCCCGAGGTCGCGCCTTTTGAAATACACAATGTTCCTGGCAACATATGTCCATCCCAGAGAGATTTCAAGAATCGGCGCGGGCAGTCATGAATTCAATGAAGGGGCTAATTGAGAGCCACGAAGTGTGCTGCGCCGAGCGGGATATTTGGGTACTCCGACGGTGCGTATTTCTCCTTGTGCGACCCCGGGGAGCTCCCCAATCCAAGGTGGGTCCTCGGAGGAGATGCGCGGAAACTTTTCAAGGCGGGCAGAAGCCATGGGTGCTGAAAGAGGGAGCCATTTGGCGGATGTACTTTCTGAAAACATCCCATGAATGAGTCCCAGATCGAAAAGCACAGGCGCACCCACCTCGGTCCTCATCCCCAGGATACTTGTCCGTCCATTCTACCAATTTCCCGTAGATTCAGGGCGGCGGCACTCAAAGAGATTTGACTAGCGCATGTCCCACAGTTCGGGGTCGCGTTAATTGCCAGCGAAATATTCTCCCCCGTGGCTGTTGAACGATTGAGGACGCCCCAGGCCCTCCTTTTCTCTTCTGAGTCTCTCTTTTTCCCAGGGAAGACAGTCGAAGAAGCAGTTCGGAGTAGAGCGTCTCCAGGTGGCCCACGTTACGGGAAATTGGGGTTTCCCTCCTTGGTGCATCGATGACTTCCAATGAAGAATTGGTGTAGTACCAGCATTTCGCGTACTCGTGGCTATCAAGCTTTGCACGGCGACGTGCGTGATCTTTGAGATTGAGAATGGAAACACCAAACAACATGAATTCACATACCAAGTAGATCAATTCACCTTACATGCCTGCGTAACGCGTCTTATGAGAAGGTGAGAAGACAAAAGACG